GGCCCTGAGATTTTATCAGCCTCTCCTTTCTCATCCTTCTTAACACTGCCATGTTGGTGACTTTTTCAGGGTCAGGAGAATGAGACCCTTTGTATTTACTGGATTTGACATATCGAATACACCACGGATAGCTTGCCAGGCTCTGCCATGTAGGCGAAATAGTCTCGGTAGCTTGCCAGGCTCTCCGAAAGGGATCGAGGTTTTAAGGGCGGCCTCTAATCATCCTTGTAGGTGTTCCCATAGTTCTAACCATATTTAAACCCCATAAAATATGGTGCGGTAATCTTGTATTCAGTGTTTATGATGTGTCCAGAAAGCGTCATGGAGCGTGGCTGCGGCTAAGTAGCGGAGGTAATGGAGGTCTGCCGGGCTGCTGGAAGCAGGCAGAGGATCTCTGCTCCTGGGTCCACTAAGCCTGGAGTTCAGGGTCAAAGTGTTTCGCTTTCCCGGTTCTGTGGGGCCTCACCTGTGCATGAGTCTTGGCCTAAGGTTCCGTAAAACATCCTGGAGCATGGCTGCGGCTGGGTAGTGGAGGTAGTGGAGTTAGTGGAGGTCTGCAGGGCTTCTGGAAGCAGGCAGAGGATCTCTGCTCCCGGGTCTGTTGAGCCTGGAGTCCAAGGTCCACCGTCTCCTTAGTGCAAAATTCTACTTCACAGAGCAGGGAGAAAGGGCTGCAAAGTTTAAAAGATCTCCCAGAATGACCACCAACTGGGAGCTCTTTGGCACTATTTTGGAAAGATGCCGTCATTGACAACATTGATAAGGAATACGATTGAATGTTTCAGCACCTCCATGATTGTGTGAAGAATGCCGAGAGAGAGATAGCCACAAAAAGACGCCTGTCTTGGAACTCTCAAGATCATTCGCCAACATGGCTTGGCACAAGCCTCAGGCAACTGCAAGCGGACGTCAGAGCTCACAAAGCAGTGCAGAGAAGTAATAAAGGAAGACCTTAAAGAGAGAAGTGCTGGTAGATGTGGCAGAAGCTGGGGAAAGCATTCGCAAAGCCCACCTGTCCTTCACGAACTACAAGACCAAGATGACTGCCCTCCAACATCCTGATGGATCTATCACATGTTCCAGAAGGGCAATAGAAAAGATTATTCATGACTTCTACTAGGATCTGTTCAATAGCCACGTCCACCTGCCCACATACCAAATTCCGCAGGATGGATATGTCGCTCCCAAAGTTTTCCCTTCCAAAATCCGACATGCCATTCCATCAGTAAAGAAGCAAACAACACTTGGCCCAGACAAGGTCAGACCCAAACACCTGAAGAACCTGCCATCAGTACTCATCAATACACTGGCTCGACTCTTCACACTTTACCTGATTGCAAGGTTCCTCCCCAGTAGAAAACCAGCAGGACTGTACTACTGTACAAGGGAGACATCCACGACATTGGCAACTATTGCCCAATTTGCCTGTTGTCTGTCATCCACAAGCTGTTCACTCAAGTCATCCTGAATAGGATTGGCAGAACAATAGATGAAGGACAACCATGTGAGCAAGCCAGGTTCGACAAAGGATTCAGCACCATCGACCATATCCTCACGATAACCAAGCTCATTGAGGTTTCTCAGGAGTTCAAGATGCTGCTCTGTCTAACATTCATTGATTTAAAGAAGGCTTTTGATTCTGTTGAGACTGAAGCAGTCATTGAAGCTCTAGCCAAACAGGGTGTTCAAACTCTATACATCAGGATCCTCCATGAGTTATATTACAGATTCACTACCAGGATCTCACCATTCTACAGGGAGGTGATCATTGACGTTAAGAGAGTGGTTTGACAGGATGATACCATTTCACGGAAACTCTTCAGTGCCACCCTCAAGAACGTCATGCGACAACTGGAATGGGAAGGAATGGAAATGAAGATAGATAGTCAGCAACTAAACTACCTCTGTTTCACTGATGACATCGTTCTAAAAACACCAAACATCAGCCAAGTGACACAAATGCTGGCCGACTTCGACCGTGAGTATGGAAAGGTGGGACTACAACTGAATCTCACAAAGACAATGTTCATGAGAAAAGGTCTCATTCCTGACATTCCATTCATTCTCAATGGGACGAACATCTCCGAATGCAACAGTTATGTGTACCTAGGTCAAGAAGTCAATATGATGAATGATCTGGCACCTTAGTTGTATACAGAAGGAAGAGAGCAGCTTGGAACGCCTTCAAGCGCCTCAAAGAAATAGTTAAGAGGACGAAAAGCCTCTGGCTTCAGGCACATCTCTTCGATTCCACTGTTCTTCCTGCATTAACATACACCTCAGAGACCTGAGCCCTACTGTTTTCATAGAATGTGAAGGCTATTCGGGTCTCCCAAAGAGGACTCGAAAGAGCTATGCTTGGAGTATCACACTTCACTCAAATGAGAGAAAGAATCCGGAGTTCCGACCTCCATCGGCGGTCAAGAGTCAGGGATGCTGTCTCATTTGCCAAGGCGTCGAAGATCAGATGGGTTGGACACATAATGAGATTTGGAGAAGAACGCTGGACTAGAGTCATTACCGACTGGATTCCAGGGACATCAAAAGATCGCATGGCCGTCCACCTGTGATGTGGTCAGACTTCTTCGTCAAGACCCTGAATGATCGGTTTGAGGCTGTTCGTGTTCCTAGAACGAGCAGATGACATTGGACTACACTAGCACACGACATGGACAAATGGAGGCATTACTGGTGCCCGCTCGAGCAAATTGAGTAATGGGATGTCGAGTGATCAAGTAGCTGTCCAGTTTGGCCAGCACCATCTGTTTTGTTTTTTGTTTTACTTTTTAAACATTTTAATAATTTAATTTTAGTTTTTGCACAATACCCTGAGATAATCAGGACTTACTGCTGGCTCTATGCTTACTGTTTTTTTAAAAATATATATTTATTTATTGAATCACTGTGGGAAAAGTTACAAAGCTTTCAGGTAAGTCTCAGTCATGCAATGATCAAACACATTTCCCTTCACCAGTACTTATTTTTCACCGCCAAGAACCCCAATATATACCCCCTCCCACCCCTCCCAATGCCTGTGAGGCAGATGAATTCTACTTAACACTCTATCTACTTTGATTACATTCATTATTTTGACAAAAGATGCACCATTATTGTTTAAAGTTTACACCCAACAATCAGAACTGCTGAAAAGGTATTGTGAAATAATTTGTTTTCTACAGCTGGTTATGAGAACCATATGATTTTGGATTTCTGATATTTTATTTATTAAGACTGGAAGCATTTCTGCCAAAAGTCAGATAATTAAGAGATTGGTTTCTGTGGCTCTGGAGCCATGGCCATGACGGAAAGCCGTTCGTGGGGGGCAACTCATGACCTCGGTAGGGTGTGAAGGACAAGCTGGGAACTCCCCCCATTCCCATGAGGTTTCAGTTGCCCCATCACCGTCGGCTCACACCTGGCTTTCCAAAAAGCTCCGAGGCGGCTGCCATCTTGCTGTACAGGGAGAAAAAAGCAGAAGGGAGCGACACCCCTTTCCACCCAGGCAGGCATGGTACCGTGGATTAACGCATAGTTCATTCACTTTTCTTCTGCAAGCTGCCAGGCTCTGTGTTAAGTCCTTGTGCCTCTGGAGCCATGGCCGTGCTGGAGAGCCTCTCATGGGGGGAGGGGGGACAACTCGTGATACCAGCACCATTTGTTAAAGAGGATTTCCTTGCTCCATTTTATATTTCTTGCTCCTTTATCAAAGATTAGATGATCATAAGTTTGAGGGTATGTCAGTTATCAACTTCTAACCTGAACACCTGCCCTGGTTATTTATTTATTTATTTATTTATTTATTTTAGTGTAAGTCTGTTCTTTCCTATGAAATCTCCAAGGCTAATAAGTTTGGCCTGATTTTTATTCTCTGTGGTTTGCTAGACCCCAAAATATCATCGTTATATCTGACACTGTGCTATCGCTCAATAGCACAGCGGTACAGCGTTTGCCTTGCACGCAGCCAACACAGCCAACCCAAGTTCGATTCCTCCGCCCCTCTTGGAGAGTCCGGCAAGCTACCGAGAGTATCTTGCCCGCACAGCAGAGCCTGGCAAGCTACCCGTGATGTATTTGTATGCCAAACACAGTAACAAAAGTCTCCAATGGAGACGTTACTGGGCCCACTCGAGCAAATCGATGAACAACGGGAGGACTGTGACTGTGACCAAGAATTTCACTGACCACAATACAATATCTGGCACAGGGGGTAAGTTACTGGTAACGAAACTGTTTTACTCATATAACCTCAATCTACATACTGTGCCATAGCAGCTGCAATACAATGTATCCTCCAAGATCTTCTCACTCTCCCTTTTCTGGGAGCACACAGCATTTTCTCTCTTCAGAGGAGAGGATCTTGGGTTCAAATATCCCATATTCTAACCCCAAAGTTTGAAGGTACTTTAAAATCCATGAAGTCAGATAACAGACAGAGTTAAGATTACTACAACTTCAGGGTGACTGGGTGGCTGTAAGCAGAAACCCAACAGGAATTCATGAAAGACGAGGAACAGTGAGACCCCTTCCTCTTAGCTGGGTTCAGAATGCAAATCCTTAATGGCAGGCAAATCTGAGGAGAACAACACAGGACACAGCCCTAGAACAAGGACAAGAGCTGGATGAGTCTGAACAATCATCTTTTGATACTATAGGGACTCATCTGTGAAGGGGTCTTGCTGGGCCTAAGGATCAGTGACAGACAGATGCTTCTTGAGGCTCAGAGATGGGGACACACATCCAGAAATCAAGCTGTGAATGTGTGTACAAGAGAGCAGGCAGCCTCCTGCACAGAACAAATAAACACGCAGATGGGACTGAGGAGCAGACCCAGGCCTGAGCCCAGACTGACCAGCACAGAAGCCCTTGCTGCTCATGTTTCTGGGACAAGATGAGGCTGGGTGTTACTTGAGTCCCTGTGAGAAAGCTCCTGTGGGACGAGTTGCTATCAGGGGACCAGGACAAGGAGCAGGAGAAATGACCCAGACAGCTGTGTGACCACATCAAAGCCCACTCTGGCCTTGGCCTATTTGTACCTTCCCATGCAGCGACATTTCGCAGGACTCTGATGAGTCGCTCATGAACACTTGGGGTGAGGGGTTGGATAGAGGGTACAGGAGAACAGATAGCCTCCTCCAGGAGGAGGTAGGTCAGTCCAGGAGCACCTCCTTCCTGAGAAAGAGACAGACTGGGTGCAGGTCTGTCCTCACTCATTTCCTCACAGCCTCTCCTGTCCCACTTGTGATGGAATCAAAACAGAAACCGCAGATAATCCCTGTGTATTCTGGCAAAGTCAGAATTTCCATTTATTCCTTGTCAAATTTCAGGGATCTCCTTCATTAGCCTTTCAATTCCATGAAACAGGAGTTAATTAGAAAAATGCAAGTCAGATGCTTATTTCAATTCAGGAGAAATATTATTTGGGAAAATAAGAAGCTAACACAATGGATTCAGCTGGGTGATGTCACAGCCGACACAGACCAGATCATCATGGAAGAGAACGCAGTCAATGTGGGGAGGGTTGGGCGTGCAGGGATGAGCCAGTCTCCGCTCTCACAGATGTTACAGGACACATACATACTCAGGTTCCAGGGCAGAAAGAGAATCAGCAGTTCTTGAGTCATAGCATGGAAACGTGAGGAAATCAAGAAAATCTTGCATCCCTAGGCCACATGCAGGGCCGCTGTCTCACACTGAAAGGAAAGAATGGACATACTCAAGTGAGTCACAGAAGTGGTAACATCCTGACAAGCTCACAATGTCGCTCTCAAAGAACCACCAAACTCAGTCCTGTACCCTCTGTCCAACTCCTCACCTCAAGTTTTCATTAGAGCCCTAGGAACTGTCGCTGTCTGGGGAGGAACAAACAGGATAAGGTCAGAGCCCCAGGGAAGGGACTAGAGGAGGAAATAGGGCTGCGGGAGCTCCCAATGGGCTCTGGTCTCTGTCTCCAGAATTCCAGGGCCCAGCCCTGCCCAAACTTACTTTCAGCCTGAGTATACGTTCCTCTTTTCTCACCTGTGGGAAGGAAACAACCATGGAAGGTTGGGGAGAGCACTGGGTCCTGAGACGACAGAACAGCTCCCTAGGACCAGATCCCAGGGAAGTGTCAGAACTCTGAAGACTAAGGGAAGGATCAGGAAACACACGGAGAGGAGATGCTCATGGACTGACCATGAGCAGTCTATGCTCGGCAGGGACAGTCCCTGTGACCTGGGACCCTGGGAAGCAGCTTATGGAGGTGAAAGTGTCTTTCATGAGCAAACCTGAGAGCAGCACACATGGGGGGGGGGTGGGGGGTGAGCAACTGCACAGAGGTGGGTGGTGCTCCCACTAATGAGGCAGGAAAACTAATAAAAAAGGGGATACCTCCAAAGTGGGGCAAGAAAGCTCAGACCACCTTAATCCTACCTGAACGTTTACACCTCAAGATTATAGATCCTCCCAGATAACTAGTGATCAAAGCCAAGAAGGAAATCACGCCAAGAGTGATGCCCACAGTGTGGATGCTGAACACAGATGGGGACTCTGATAAGAAAGGAAGAAGAGGGCTTAATTCCCGGCATTGGCCCAAACTCTTCACAGTTCTCCAGAAGGGATCTCTCCTAATTCCCCTTCTGGAGAACAGACTCTGCCCATCCCCTTCCTCACCCCATCTCAGGCTGTCAGGCTCTAGCAGCCCTTGGTGCTGCACACGGCACGTGTATCTCTGCTCCTCTCCAGAAGGCACCACCACAGCTGCCCACTTCTGGAAGGTTCCATCCCCGGAAGGCCTGGTCTCTACCAGCTCTGTGTCCTGGGTCAGGTCCTCCCCATCACGCTGCCAGGTCAGGGTGATCTCAGCAGGGTAGAAGCCCAGTGCCCAGCACCTCAGGGTGACCTCACGGTCAGAGAAGGGATGGTGGGTTATGTGTCTTCTGGGGGGTTCTGAGGATAGAGAATGATGAAAATTCACACTTTAGGTGACTTTAAGGATGAAAATAAATAGGATAATTTATTTGGAACAGGAGGTAAACATCCAGACACAAGTCTCCTGATTCAGGAGACTGGGATAAAATCCTATTCTTGGAAAGTTCTAGACTAGAGTGTGAGTAGGAGGTTAGGGTCTCTAGGGCAACACTGACTGTGGTCCTGCCCTGGGTGGAGGATGAGTGACTGAGAGGAGTCAGAGCTAAGATCTGAGTAAGCTCACAGATGACTGCGAAGCCACATTTGTTATTTCAGAGAGGGTCTCCCCTTCCCCGTGCACACTGGAGTCCTTCAAGGTCCTGTGGACACAGGGTGGGCCTGAGGGAAGGGAAAGTCTCTCTGGTACAGAACATGGAAACCAGGAGGGTTCATCCCTCTCCTGACTGAAGAAGGGGAGCTGTTCTAACACTGAACCCCACTGTCTTCCTCCTTGTGGGGAGTCGCCACCCCCACCCTCACCCCAGGGAAGGTCAGAAGTCCTCACCATCCAGGGACTCTGTACCTGCTCGCAGCAGAGTGTCCTTCCCGTCCAGCAGGTATCTGCTGAGCCACTGCACGCACTCCCTCTCCAGGTAGTTCCTGTAATGATCAGCAGCACTCTCCTGCTCCCAGTTGCACTGGGTGCGCCAAGCCTGAGTGCCCGCCGCCGCCGTCCAGGAGCGCAGATCCTCATTCAGGGCGATATAGTCGGCGCCATCGTAGGAGTATTTACTGTACCCGCGCAGGAGGCGTCCATCTGACCCCACGTCGCAGCCGTACATCAGCTGGAGGGTGTGAGAGTCTGACCCACCCCGCACAGATTAACCCCGAACCGAAAAAGAAACCCGGGGACGGTCCCCGCGGCTCCTCCGGGTCAAGGGTCCGGGGCGGCTCCCTCAGCCTCCGGGACGCTCGGACCCGCCTCGGGGCGACCCGACCAGTCCCAGTGTTGGCTCGTCCCTGCCCCGCCGCGCTCACCCGCCTCGCTCTGGTTGTAGTAGCGCAGTAGGTTGCTCAGGCTCACTCGGTAATTCTTCGCGGCGGCCCTGGCGTTCCGCGTCTCTTCCTCCCAGTACTCAGGTCCCTCCTGCTCCGCCCACGGGGCCCGCGGTTCCATCCTCGGACTCGCCGAGTCGCTGTCGAAGCGCAAGAACTGCGTGTCGTCCACGTAGCCGACGACGATGAGGCGGGGCTCCCCGCGACCGGGCCGGGACACAACGGTGTGGAAATATCGCAGGGAGTGGGGGCCTGAGGAAGGGAAGCGGTGAGACCTGGCCCGATCCGCCGCCCTGCACGCCCCGAGTCCAGGTGATAGGGAAGAGGGAAAGGAGAAAGGTGGGGAGGGACTAAGAAGAGGGAGACTTAGAGACGCAGTCCCCCCACTCTCCTCTCCACAGGGAACTCCCCTCGGACCCGCACTCACCCGCCCGGGTCTGGGTCAGGGCCAGGCCCCCCAAGAGCAGCAGAAGGAAGGTTCGCGGCTCCCACATATCCTGGGAACCAGGGACTCTGACTCCTTGAAGGGCCACATCACTTTATAACCAGGAGCCGCGTGGACGCTGATTGGCTTCTCTAGACAGTCTCGCCCAATGGGACTGAAGATTTGTGACGCGTCACTAAAACATGGGCAAGAGGAACTGACACAGAGGGAGAAGTGAAACTCTGTGAAGACCAGGAATCCCAGCCCCCAACACCTCCTTGGGGACCTAGACACTGGGAGCCACACCTGGGACTTGGGACTTCGCCCTCTCCTGCTGCTTGTGCAACTGATCTTTGTCACACTTGTCTCCTCGTGTTAGGGCTGAGACTAAATCAGTGATTTTCCAAGGTTTTCATTTCAACATCTAGCTACAGTCTTTCAAGTTAGTGAGGACCTCAGAGATGCTTCTATGCGTGTGCGTTATGTCTATCAGTGTTTACCGTGCCAGGAATTTGAGTTAAAGACACTTTATTGTTGATTTTGTTTGGGGCTTTTAGGTACACCAAAGGTGCTCAGGAGTTTTTTCTGGCTCTGTCCTCAGGGATCACTCCTGGCAGGTTCTTGAGACCATATATGGTACCAGGGATCAAATCTGAGTTGGACACTTGCAAGGCAAGCACTTTACCTTCTCTACTATATCTCCTGCAGAGTTAAAGACTCTGAAAATTACTACAACTGGCAAAGGTAAAGGCCCTCCCGTTGATTGTCGATTTGCTCGAGCGGGCCCAGTAACGTCTCCATTGGAGACTTTGTTGTTACTGTGTTTGGCATATCGAATACTCTCGGTAGCTTGCCGGGCTCTCCGAGAGGGGCAGAGGAATCGAACTCGGGTCGGCCATGTTGGCTGCTTGTAAGGCGAACGCCCTACCGCTATCAGTGCTTAAATAAGTTACAAAAAATAAAAATTATTTCAGGGATTAAGTGGTACGTGAAACCGTCTGTCTGGATTCTGTCTGGCACCACGTGGTCCTCAGAGCATCTCCAGATGTATGTGGCACTGGAGACCCTAAGCTCGCTCAGAGGCCTCCTGAGCACTGCTAGGAAGTCTCCCTCCCAAATTAGAAGGAAAAGGGGAAAATGATTCCAAAAATAAATGGTATTGTGAAAGAGTAGATTCTTTACCTTTTGAATTTTTCAAGTTTATCTTCTCTGTCTCATCAGAAGGTATCTGGATTTTTATATTTTCTCCTGCCTTTAATCTGTTGTTTGATGTATATGGAAAAAATTAAACTTTATGCAAATACATAGGAATGATATTTTTTTATAGTTTTATTTATTTCTTTTTCTTCTTATATTTATTTATTGAATCACTGTGGGAAAAGTTACTAAGCTTTCAGGTTTAAGTCTCGGTCATACAATGATGAAACACCTTTCCCTTCACCAGTACTCATTTTTCACCACCAAGACCCCCAATAAACCCCCCTCCCACCCCTCCCAATCCTGTGAGGCAGATGATTTCCACTTAACTCTTCTCTACATTGATTACATTCATTATTTTGACGAAAGATGCACCATTATTGTTTAGAATTCCCCCCCCCCCCCCAACAATCAGAATTGCTGAAAAGGCATTGTGAAATACTTTGTTTTCTATAGCTGGTTATGAGAATCATATAATGTCATATAATGATTTTGGATTTCTGCAAAGAGCCAGATAATTACGAGATTGGTTTTTGTATGTCTGGTGTTATAGCTGTGCGGGAGAGCCACTAGTGGGGGGCAACTCGTGACCTTGGTAGGGCGTGAAGGACGAACGGTACCGCCACCCTTCCCGTGAGACTGCAGTTGCCCCGTCACCGCTGGCTCATACCTGGCTTTCCAATAAGCTCTGAGGCAGCGATCACCTTGCTGCGGGGGGGGGGGGGGGGGTGGGAGGGGAGAAGGGAGAAAGGTGGAAGGGAGCAACACCCTTTACCTCCCGTGGAGGCATGGTGCCGCCATAGTTTAACGCATGATCCATTCACTTTTCTGCTGCAAACTGCCAGGCTCTGAACTAAGTTCTTTTGCCTCTGGAGTCATGGCCGTGCCGGAGAGCCGCTTGTAGGGGGCAACTCGTGACCTTGGTAGGGCGTGAAGGACGAGCCGATACTGTCCCCCTTCCCATGAGACTGCAGTTGCCCCATCACCGCTGGCTCATACCTGGCTTTCCTATAAGCTCTGAGGCGGCGGCCACATTGTATGTTGCTGCAGACTGGCTCGGTCGAAGACTACCAGGCTGAGGGGAGACCAGGCGAAGGTGCACAGGAAAGCAGGAGATTCGGCGCGTTGGACAGACAGACACCAACACAAGAGAGGTTGAGTGCTGCTGCAGTTTATTGCATCCAGAGTTCTTCTTTTTATACAGTTACAGAAACAACGTGGCAAAGCACACGTTACATCAGACCATGGGTCATGTTCCCAAAACATCAAGGGGCACGTACACGTTCTGTTTTAAGATTAGGGCAGAAGATCCGCTTGTTCCAATAAAATATCTGAGTAAAATATTATGTTCCTTATAATTCCTTTATTGTCTACTTTTACTGACATTAAGTTTTTATTTCCCTAAAAACGCCTACCCATAAACTAAAAAAATATCAGGACTTTACAAAAGCTAATATTAACTCTACTTTACTAGCAGGCATATAAAAATCAGGATTTTACAAAAACTAATATTAACTCTATTAGCAAGCATCTTTCCAAGGCCAAAAGTTAAATCAAGATATCTAACAAGCAGGCTCCTATTCCCACAGAATGGCAAGTGAAGACTGCATGTCAGAGGCGCCTAGAAAACAGAGAAAGGGGGCTGCCGGAGGCATAGACCCGTGGGTCGCGAACCTCCCATTCCCAGGGACCCAGGCCCTTGCCTGAGCCCCCTTGCAGCATGTTGCTACGTGGGCGATGCCGTTGCCGGCGTGGCAGTATGTGATCCAGATGCATTTCTGCCAAAAGCTGCTGGGTTTCGAGATTTGTTTCTGAGTCTCTGGGATCATGGCCTTTAAGCAGCTTGATCAGGAGCCAGAGAGGCTGTTTGTAGGCGGCGACCCAGGGTCTCGCTGGGATGGGGAGGAAAGGACCGGTTCCGCCCCCATCTGGCAAGGCCCTGCATGTCTCATCATTGCAGGTCCAAACCTGACTGTTCAGTGGCCTCTGGAGGATGGCAGTCACCGGGGCGCCAAGGGGAACAGGCCAAGGCACAAAACCTATTCTCACCTGGAGTGGCCCAGCCCCAGTAACCTACTGCAGGAACAGGACGCATTTCTATCAAAAGCCTTTGGGTTCCAAGATTTGTTTCTGAGTCTCTGGGATCATGGCCGTTAAGCAGCTCGATCAGGAACCAGAGAGGCCAGGCCTCCAATTATATAGCTGAGCCGGAGGTGGTTTGTGGGTGTGTCTCCCACATACCTAACTTTTGGCCGTTTACTTTCTTGGTAAACTTTGCCCCAAGTTTTTGTGGTCTGGTCAAAGACACAACAGCAATTTTGGGGTATCTGAAAGTCTGACAGTGCCATCAGGCTGCTGATACACTTGCCCCACAGGTACAGATTGACCTGCTGGCGGCATCATACCCCTATAGGAATGATATTTTTAAAAATTGTGACAGATAATTATGAAGTCAGCTTGGATAACAATGATAGAGTCATGTGAAAGGAAAAACACTGGTTGCCTCAGGAAATGGGGTACATGAATATTGGGGACTTAAACATTATTTTTGAATCTACATGTTTTTATTCATTTTCTAAAAAGTCAGTTTGCAAAATGAGCCATAAACTCAAAATTCTAGTGTTAAGGAGAATAAAAGGAAGGGCATGATCAGCAGAAATCCAGGCTCCCAAGGGTGAACCCTGGACTCCATCTGGGTACCCAGTATGGGAGACTTGTGACAGAGGGTGGAAGATATGGGACTGACATTGGGGTATCTTCGAAGCTTTTATTTAGACTTATTTACTATCTTTTTCAGGCCCCAATCCTGTGCAAGCAGAGGGAGACTTTAAACAGGGCAGGACCATTGCTGTCCTGCCCCTCACTGGAGGAAAGCGCATCCAAGTCCTGATGTGGGAAGTAGGGAGTTGATGGAGCTGTTCTCTCCTGAAACCCTATTAATTCTGGGGAAAAGTGCTATAGGGACCAGACAGAAAAGGTGCTATAGGGACAGTGGGTAAAGCACTTACCTTGCATACTATTTTTCAGGATTTTATCCCTGCCACTCTATATGGTCACCTGAGCTCAAACTGGACTAATCCTTGAGCACAGCCAGGTGAGGCCCCCAAACCAAAAAAGTAAATACAAAGTGAAATGAACCCATCCCCTGAGTATGGGGATAGGGAAGGAACTTAATTGGTCAGCAGAGGGAGGAGAAAGTGGGACTCAGTTCTCAGGAAGTGGGAGAGTGAACTGACTGGGAAATGGCCTGTGGGAGAGCAGGGCTGGACTCTGCTGGGACTCTGCTGGGCTTAGAGAACCAGATGGGGCAGCAGGAGAGGACATGTAACAGATTAGAGGAAAGTGTGAAAAAGTATCCACAGATGCGAGGTGCAATAACTGTTACTGAGATCTCATAGACCTTTTTCCCATAGGATGCAGTTATCTCTGAAGCGCATATAGAATCTCTCCCTTTATTCCTCTTTACACATTTGTGGGTATTTACAGCCTTCTGTGCTTGAGGACTGCACCAGGCTCTGTACTTGGGGGGAATGCTCCCATGGAGGACCTCGCAGTCTGGGTGAGCCTGGACTTGCTGCACACACAGCCTGAACCCCTGCCCTTTGAGCTAAGGTATCTCACAGACACCTGGGCATTGTTCACTATCTTGTAAGGTTTGATGTTTTTAAGTAGGTGGTTTAAAAGTAGGTGGTTTAAATAGGTCTTTTATTGAGGATTTTTTCTGAAACTTTCCTTGCCTTTGTTGGTACTGTTGGTACCTTTACTTCTGCTCACACACTCGGTTGAGGTGCTTGTTGGGATCATGCATTTGTTTGATGTGCTCACATACATTTTAGCTGTGGTCTTGGGGAGATACTATAATTTAGTTATGGA